ATGACAAATCCAAGCCGATGTATCTGTATCTGCCGTTCCAAGCTGTACATGGACCACTGCAGGTGCCCGCCAAATATTCAGACCAATACAGTCATATACATGATTTGAATAGGATGGTTTACAGTGGCATGGTGAGTGCTTTGGATGAAGCTGTGCTCAACATCACCACTGTCCTCGAGAACTATGGATTCATGGACAACCTACTTCTTGTGTTTACAACAGACAATGGTGGGCCTCCCAGACATGGAGCAAATAACTGGCCTCTGAGGGGCGGGAAAGCCACACTGTGGGAGGGAGGCACCAGAGGAGTGGGTTTCGTCTACAGCAAGACTCTGCTGAAAAAGAAAGGTTACACTCACCCTGGTCTGTTCCACGCTGTGGACTGGTACCCCACGTTACTGGACATAGCAGGGGGAGACTCCAGCCAGCTGGACATAGACGGGTTGAGTCAGGTCGACATGATCATCAACGGAGGTGGCAGCGTCAGGAAGGAATTTGTCTACAACATCTACGACGACCACTATGCTGCAGCTTTCAGGTGGGGAGACCTGAAGTTGATGGTTGGTGAAATCTCACATGCAGGTTGGTATCCACCTGCTGGGTCTGACTTAGATGTCCCCGTCATGGACGACTCTCTCCTCCCTAGCGTCATGCTGTACAATATCAGCGCCGACCCCACTGAGCACCAGGACATCTCCAAGGACAACCCCGACCTTGTCAACTTCCTGCTGCAGATGCTGGCCCAGAAGAATGGGACTCGGATGCCAGCAATGGACCCACCCTCTGACCCTCGATCTAACCCAGTCAACTTCAATGGCGTCTGGAGCCCCGGCTGGTGCTAGAGATTGCTTGAGTACATTACTTCAGTGCAGATTGTGACCTTTCGAACCACCGAGAAATGTGTTATCACCAAGTCACGTAACAGTATTTCATATTTACGTGATTAAATTCACATCTGTGTCTATACCTGTGTAAAACTGGATCGTGTAGGAAAATACCAAATGCTGTACATAAAGTGACACATTGCGAACATTTCTGTTTGGCAAACTGGCTGAGTGCTGCGATATATATCTTGGTTGAAAATTAAATTGTCTGTAAACCGTCTTCAGATATCGATTGTCCAAGCTTTCTGTTGGTTATATGATAAACATGATTATTGCAGGAAGCAATTCTTGTGGTTGTGACACCTCTGTACGTACACAAACAGTATACAAACAACCAAATTGCACATAATAACATCGACTTTTACCTTTTGACCACGAAATTTATTCAGTTTCATAACATTGCAATCATAATCACAAAGTAAACTGATAATTGACAAAAATACAGTTATAGCACGAACAATAACATACTCACAACTGAACAGTATACTTGAATTCCACATGAACTACTGGTTGAGTTCAAGGGAGGTGTTCCCACAAATAGTCCAGTGGGTGACGTGGAGCTTGCTTTGACTTCAACAAAACTGATTAGATTAGCTTGTGAATTTTTTCTGGCAAAAATAACAGGTCTTCCGTTCTCTAAATTAAACACCAAAAACGGTAAGGGCAATTTCACTGACCTATACAAATGAGAAACAAACAATCATCAGTTTATAATTTATATTATTTTGCGTTGTCTCACGCGCACTGACAATGTGGACCTGTGCTGACAAGTTCGGGGGAACGAACACGATCAGATTTTACCTGCATATTGAAGGTGAAACTCGAAGCTATTCCTTTCACAAATGATTATGGTTTTGGTTAAGGGGAGTGGTTTACGTTTGATTCGTCCCCCCTTGTAACAATAGGCAGAGTCATTGGACCACCAACAATTAAATAAGAGCTTTTTCTACCCCTCATAACACTGTCGGAAATTATGGTGACGAGTTGGTATGAACAAATAAGTAACTTTAATTTCATTTAAGACGAATTTTTGCCTTCGTTTATCATATTCATTTTGCATTTCATCAGTACGGATCTATAGGCAGGCTTCATTGGAAACGTTCCGATAAAATAAGACAAAATTAAGCTAATATAGATACGTTCCGAATGTATCTGTCGCCAGAATTCTCGATACCTAAGGACAAAATTCAGTTTCTTCAGCGCCATAATTCTAAAATAGGTGAATCCTTCCTCCACAATTATACTTCACCACGACCGTATAGACAGTATAGTGCACAGACAGGTACTTAATTTTGAAACGTATCGTAGTTACGGAAACGCATGTTTTTTACCATGAAATTGTTTTGCCGAAGGAACTCTTATTAAACCGGAATTACTTATAACTTTTGCTGACAGGGTAGCTTAAGGCTAGGACTTTCTGTTTCCAAACTGTGCTTTATTTTGCAGGTGCTTGAATACGGAGTGTTTGGATACCGATAAGGCTTAGAGGAACAGCATCGATTTGAGGCGAGGAGTGAGTGAATATGGTTTTACGCAGCGTTTAGTAATATTCCAGCAATATCACGGCGGGGGACACCAGAAATGGGCTTCACACATTGTACCCATGTCGGAAATCAAACCTGGGTTAGTGAAAGCTTTAACCACTAAGCTACCCGACCGTCCCTTGAGCTTAGGACTTGTAATGTGAATATGGCCTACATGAGCTTTGTGCTAACAGGTAAAATCGTTTTAGTATTGATTGAATTTGTGGAATGTACTGATTAATGACCCCTACAAGCTAAAATATGAAGTTTTATATCTTTTTGATACGTGCACAAAGTGCAATTAGTGATTCTCGAAGCTGAGTGGTCGTATAAACAAAGATAAATATAATTGGACGATAGGACGATTTCTTCCTCATTTAGTTTTTCTCTCACCCAGCATTCATTCAGATGTTTCATGTGCAACAATCACAGATTCGAGATTCAAGAAAGATAATTTCACATTATTTCACATGATTTTTAGTTTACAATGAACATAATTACAAAAAACAAAACTATGTCTGCGTTGTTTGTAAACAAGTATGGCTGACCATTTGACACCTGTCAAGTAAATGACCTCGTTAAAGTAGATAATGTCTAACAGGAAGAGGTATTCGTCAAATTCAACCTCTGAACACATTTAATATCTTTGTTGTTAAAAATTACAAATGGCCTGATTGAAGTTTTAAGATTCACATTGCGAGTGTTGCCAGAAACTGTTTCTGGGGCGCCGAGATCAACAATATGAAGTCCGGGTTTACAGCGTCTGTGCTGGGGGACTTGCTGTTTGACGACTTTTTGACTACCCGAATCCAAGCAACAAATTGAGCATTAATTTAGTTCCCAAATATATTTTCTAAATTGTATTACCTAAATGACACAAGAAAGGTTGAGAAATTGGCCCAACTAACTCAACTAAATACAATTCTGTGCAAATATTTTATTTTGGCGGAAATCAGATGGTTCAGACTACGTTGTCTACTTTGACGGGGATCAAGCGTAGCATAGTGTTACCTTAAGTGACATGATTACCGACATCTACTCGCCAGGTCGATACACTTTGCTGAACCGAAGGGGTGTTGAAATCATTACAAAAGTCACTTAAAAAACAAGGGAAGGAAAACTTCACCACCTAGGTGATTCTGTATCCGATATTGAACTGAATATTGAATATTGAGCTCCGTGAATGTTATGTAATGGTATGGGGATGTGTTTCTTTAAATTGTAAACTTAACGTGATCGCTGTGCATGGTAATCAGAACGTATCTTGATATCAGCATGACATCTTGGAGACTTCAGATATGCCCCACATTTGCAATCACTGGACCTGTCTTCAGGGATGATAATACTGGACCTCACGGACTATTTTGGAATGCGAAAGTCAGAATGGGATCGAGACACTTCCTTGTCCAGATCTTAATCCAATTAACATATGTGGGACATTTTAAGCTGTCAATTTGGACAGACACCACCGGTCCAAATTTAGGTGAAGCTGCTGCTGATTTGCATAGGGATGAGCTGGAATATCGCACCGTCAAGTGATTGATGACGCAAGTAAGCATTAATCATCATTGGTTATTTCACACGCACTATGCACAGGGGTAGTCTTCTTTAAATAATTAATAATGATACTACACTTTGATACTTCTTGGAAATATGTTAGCTCCTATTGCCAGAATTCACCAGTCGGTAGGTACTGACATCTGGTAATCCTAAGATAGCTGGCACTAGTGTAGTTAAAATCAACTAATGGTGAGATACGTTAGAGAAATTGCACAATATCTGATAACTGCCTCTGAATGACTGTTATGTTGGCATTCCTGTGACGTCACTTTCGATTCTGATGACGTAATTTCAGTTTCTGTGGATGATCTCCAATGACGCCACCTCTGGATCATGACGCAATCTATGTCATCCAACTTCCTCTGAACTCTGTCTAGGAGTGATATTGTGGAAATGCGTATACAGAAATCCCTTCCCAGTATAGCCTCCTTCATAACATTCTCTGAACTCGTTCCCCCTTGAATATATTCTACCACCGTTATGTTGTATGTAGCTATCACAACTGTCTTAATCACTGCTTCAGTCTACTGAGTGTGTGAAAAAATGCCCTAATCAAAAACAGTTGATCTCGTGAGCCAGCCGTTCTCTTTGGAGTGTTGCCCCGCCCATGAGCGGGATGCGTCTGTGTAAAGATGATGTTCGGGCGAAGGGAGCATCAGAGGAATCACTGGCACAACAGATCCATCACCAATTCAACTACTTGAAAGGAGTTGGACCAATCATCTCTAGATTCCTCCATGGTGTGTTGGGACGTAGCTGATGTTTTGTCTTGTATGTTAGATCCTGCAGATACGTTCCCGCCTTACGCATGCACAGAGGCATTTGTCAGAGGCAAACAATTTACCTAACAACGAGTTAGAGGATAACTGTCACTAGAGGGGACTTCTGTTGAAGATCTCAAGATTTTATGGTGTGACGACAACCAAAATACTGGATTTATCTTGTCAAGCGCTATTAACATACATGTCTATGTGAATTTGGCGCCGTTCAAGTTACCATATTATTATTATCATTAAAGAAGTTTATTCTGCTGCATACATGACAAATGAGTTGAGGAAAATGAAGTCAGAAAAATAAGTTGACGTCAGCTTCTTGCGGTTAACACTGTATATAAAGCATCCAAATCCTTGAAACAAATAGCAGACACGGTATTGGAAAACCTTCTCTCGAATTACATTCCCTCGTTACTGAAGGCTTTGAGGTGATCACCAATTACTACATTTATTCTGTCAGAAAGAATAAACAAGGATCCTCATTGGACGTTGCCTATTTGTCCAAGTTAAGTATGAGTGACTTGGTATTTATTATGCAGGTTGTAAATGTCGGTGATGGACAATTGTCTGTGTGCTACACAGCTGTGTCGCTATGTAGCGAGTGCTGGTCATCATGGAGGCGCAGGTTGTTATCCGTGCATTCATCTCCTGGCATTGAGAAAACATCTGGTCGATGCCGACCAGGTGGATCTTCAAGAGGACCCTCTGACTTAGGCATTGATAAGTCGTATTTCTGGAACCAAAAACACAACGCATGACGACTTCATCTAGAAAGGGATATTATGTTCATGCAGTAAGCTGAGGCGCTATAAATGCATTATAATGATGTGGTGAGCATGCACGATGATGTTATATAATGTGATTCACCTTCATACCAGTAGTAGCGTATTCTGGACTTTACAAAATGGTGTCAATGGTATCAATGTTACAACAGTTATTAACATTTCAAACCCATTTACACGATTACGTATCAATCCCATTGACTGACCCCTTTGTGGTTGACCCCAAATCTGAGGGGTTTGAGGATCTTCTCCGGCAAACAGGGGAAGAGATTGTCGAACAGCGGACAGATGAGACGAGGGTCGATACTGGAGGGTTCTCGGGGGCCTGTCATGGAACAACCATTACACGTAACATGGAGTTATCAACCTGAGATTCTTGAAACTGAAATGCCAGTCGGGCTTCAAGTGAAACATGCTGCAAAACGTAAATGTCAAATTATTATGTCATCTATGGACGGGGCCATGTGGTGGCCATGTGGTGAAAAGCGTGTGCTCGTCACGCCGAAGACCCGGGTTCGGTTCCCGACATGGGTACAATGTGTGAAGCCTATTTCTAGTGTCCCCCGCCGTGATATTGCTGGGGTATTTCTAAAAGCGGTGTAAAACTATAATCACTCATCTATAGACCAAAGTATTTGGTTGGCATCTACAAGTCTACAAGCGGAGTCTTGACTCTCTTGCGCCGGTCCGTCGTACACATGCACACACATTTACAAGGACTTAAGAGTTCCTGGCAACAGTTATTCATGATGAACGTCAATATGGCCTGCAACAACGTCGGTACGAGTTAAAGGTCCGGGTCAATTAAGAATATGGCTATAATGACGACACTTATTCAAGGAGAGGGTCCCTATGTCATTCAGCAATGACGACACAATTTCAAGGAGAGGGCCCCTATGTCATTCTACAATGACGACACTAATTGACGGAGATTGTCCATACGTCCTGCTACAATGGCGACGCTAATTCAAGGAGAGGGCCCCTATGTCCTTCTACAATGACGACACTAATTGACGGAGAGGGTCCATATGTCCTGCTACAATGGCGACGCTAATTCAAGAAGAGGGTCCCTATGTCCTGCTACAATGGCGACGCTAATTCAAGGAGAGGGCCCCTATGTCCTTCTGCAATGACGACACTAATTGACGGAGATTGTCCATACGTCCTGCTGCAATGGCGACGCTAATTCAAGGAGAGGGTCCATATGTCCTGCTACAATGACGACACTATTTCAAGGAGAGGGTCCATATGTCGTGCAACAATGGCGGCGCTAATTCAAAGAGAGGGTCCTTATGTCGTGCTACAGTGACGACACTAATTGACGGAGAGTTTTAATGTGGCATGCAGTAGTGGCTGCACCTGTTTATCGAAAAAAACATGAAGATAAGGTCGTGCTTTACAAACCTGTTATAAAACTAACGATGAGTCCCACGATAAGGAGGATGGCCATGGCTGTCGGGGTGTAATACAGATAGCTGAGCGTGTACATTCTGTAGAACGGGTCGCTGAGAATAGAGACAGTCAAGTTGTAACATCAACCAGTATCACTAATAATATTGACACGAGGCTAACCTGACACTGACATAACCATGTCCCACCGTTGAAGTATAGTTTGTCTATAAACATTGGTATCGGTTGCAATGGAATAGTAATATGTGTATAAACATTGGAATCCGTTGCTGTGGAAGTGTAACTGTAGTGTATAAACATTTGTATCCTTTGCTGTGGAAGTGTAACTAACTAGTGTATAAACATTGACATCCTTTGCTGTGGAAGAGTAACTGTAGTGTATAAATATAGGTATCCGTTGCTGTTGAATTGTAACAATAGTGTGTAAACATGGCATTGGTATCCGTTGCTGTGGAAGTGTAGCTATAATGCATAAACATTGGTATCTGTTGCTGTGGAGAAGCATCTATAGTGTATAAACATTGGTATCCGTCCTTGCGGAAGTGTAACTATAGTGTATAAACATTTATATTCTTTGCTGTGGAAGTGTAACTTAATGTATACACATTCATATCCGTTGCTGTGGAAGTGTAACTATAGTGTATAAACATTTATATTCGTTGCTGTGGAAGTGAATCTTCAGTGCATAAACATTGCTATCCGTTGCTGTGGAAGTGTAACTCTTGTGCATTAACATTGGTATTTGTTGCTGTGGAAGTGGAACTCTTGTGCATAAACAATGGTATTTGTTGCTGTGGAAGAGTAACTTGTGTATAAACATTGATATCCGTTGCTGTTGAAGTGTATGTATAGTGTATGAATATGCATATCCGTTGCTGTGGAAGTGTAACTTGTGTATAAACATTGGTATCCGTTGCTGTGGAAGTGTAACCATAGTGTATAAGCATTTATATCTGTTGCTGTGGAAGTGTAACCATAGCGTATAAACATTGTATTTGTTGTTGTTGAAGTGCAACTATAGTGTATAAACATTTACACCCGTGGTTGTGGAAGTGTAACTATAGTGTATAAACATTTATATCCGTTGCTATGGAAGTGTAACTATAGTGTATAAACATTGATATCCGTTGGTGTGGAAGTGTAACTATAGTGTATAAACATTGGTATCCGTTGGTATGGAAGTGTAACTATGGTGCATAAACATTGGTATTTGTTGCTGTGGAAGTGTAACTTATGTATAAACATTGATAACCGTTGCTGTTGAAGTGTACGTTTAGTGTATAAATATGTATATCCGTTGCTGTGGAAGTGTAACTGTAGTGTATAAACATTGCATTGGTATCTGTTGTTGTGTAAATGTACTTGTTGTTGAAGTGCATCTATATAAACAATGGTATTCGAAATTGTTTAAGTGGTCTTTAATGTTCTCGGAGAAGCAAATGAATGCTATTACCGTGATTCTGAGGATTGGGCAAGACTATGTGTCACGTTGCTGCTTGGCATGGTCGAAAGATCAGCCGCCGTCGTTGTAGTGTTGGTGACGTTCCAGTTGCAACCCCGAGTGAGGACAGGAGACTTAACGCTAGTAGTTGCCTTGGTAACGAAAGCTCCGATGCCCACCCAGAACATGAACAACGTTGAAACGAAGAAACCAACAATGGCGCCCTGAAGATGAAGATTTCAAATACGCAAACATCAGTCGACAAATTTCCGTAACATTATGTAACATAACAATACAGAAAAACAAATAATGTATTGTTGACCTCTCAGATGCACATACACTGTGCAGGACTTACAATGTTGTTCGCCCATGGGAAGATCATGCCGAGAACAAAGACGCCGAATATGGGGCCGTTGAAGATGGCGTAGACACTGTAGGAGGCTTGTAACACAGTGCCCATCTGGGACACCATGAACGCCAGGACAATCATCACTGCTCCAGACAAAAGTACTACATCGAACATACAAATAAAACATGTCATATAAATATATATGTCATACTGTAACATCAACATTGGACTTGCACTATAGTATGTATACCACAACACATACAGTGTACACCTCCGTGTAAATAACACATCGCACATCTGTACATACACCTTAATAACTCGCACGTATAAATAACACATCGCATTCCTGTACTTGTATGTATGGTGAGTTAGTTGCCTCTTTGAACAGTACTCCAGTTATATGTTTGTTTGTTTGTTTGTTTGGGTATGTATACGTAAGAATACCACAATACACACTTGTACTCGCTCGTCTAAATCTATACTCTCACGTACAAGTACCACAACACACACCATATGCCAATTATTAATTCGGGTCAAACGAGTGTTCTCAAAAGCGGACGGAATAGAATGGCTGGAAATGACACAGTGGTAGAGTAGATATATTAGTATGGCTAGAGAGGACACTGTCTGGCAGTGAAGATACGCTAGAGAGATCACTGTGACATAAGTGGCATTGGACAAAAGTTAATAAGGCTAGACAGGACACTGTCTGGCAGTGGAGATACGCTAGAGAGAACATTGTGACATAAGTGGCAGTGGACAAAAGTTAATAAGGCTAGACAGGACACTGTCTGGCAGTGGAGATACGCTAGAGAGAACATTGTGACATAAGTGGCAGTGGACAAAAGTTAATAAGGCTAAACTGGACACTGTGTGGTAGTGGATATAAATTAATATGGCTGTAGAGGACACCGTCTGCAAGTGGACATACGCTAAGTAGGTAGGCGTGAAGGAATGGTTATTCATTACGGTTGGGAGATGAGGTAGTCGTTGTATACTACCGACCTATGACCTTTGACATGATGGTGGCCTTCCGGTCTGTGAGGTGAGGAAGGAAGTAGGGTCTAACGATGTCTTGTGGAATGACAGCCGCCATTGCGTTCAGGTTACTGGACAGCGAGCTGGTGGAGAGAGGGCGAACATCACATTATGAAACTGCAGCCCTGCTAGTTCCTTTACACAGGGTGCGCGGTTGGCCGATTCGTCTAACGGGCCGCAAGTCCTTGTGCAGAGTTGCATCCCTTGGGCGTGCTAGGATCCCCTTTTCGTACTGATTACGATCGATTGTTTCTGTACGTAAGCACCATACCCGTGTTTCTTGCAACCAGGAGTGACCAGAATAATTCCGAGTTAACTGGTGTTGATTAAAGATAACTTTGAGCAGTAAATATAGCACAAACATTGCAACCTTAGAAAAAACAGCATCGCTAAAACACACTTCTATGATAGGCTAACAAGCGTTTCATTGTTTGACAAAGCTGCCATGGTACCGTTCTATTTCATACACATAAAACGACCTGATATTCAATGTAACGCGTAGAACACCAGAGATGCAAAATCGTCATCATTATTGGTTCTAAAGTATAAACTAGTATATAAATATAATCAATATGTTATGAGAATACATATACACTGTCAATACCTAGTTGACCTAAGTCGTCAAGGATTTTGAATTTGAACGCAAACACTGTTCAAATTGTCATTTAAATCAACCAACAGTCTCACTCTTGTTGTCATATTCCAGGAGCTATAGTAACGGGTAAGATACTTGGAGAATGTAAACAGAAACTCCGGACATAGCTCTGGGCTTCCATTTTGTCAGCATTGTTTTTTCACTCCAGCTTGTCTTTATGTCTGGTGTATGAACCGGAGCAGCGCTGTGTTCAGCTGCTGTATCCACCGGAGCAGCGCTGTGTTCAGCTGCTGTAATATGCGCAGCTACAACGGCGGACGTGTTACCTAAGACTGCCACTGAACAGGCTGGACACGAAGATGCCAGGAACTCCAGGTGTATCCGCCAGTATGTCCATCACGTACAGCGGCACCAGCTGTAACATGTGTAACAACAACGCAACACCTGTAACACGTGTAATGTCAGCACAACATCTGTAACACGTTAACAATATAACACCTGTAACACGTGTAACAACACAACATGTGAAACACGTGTAACAATACAACACCTGTAACACGTGTAACAATACAACACCTGTAACATATGTAACGACAACACAACACTAGTAACATGTGTAACACCTCAACACCTGTAACACGTGTAACAACACAACACCTGTAACACGTGTAACGACAACATAACACGTGTAACACGTGTAACAACAGCAGAACACCTGCAACACGTGTAACAATACAACACCTGTAACATGTGTAACAACACAACACCTGTAACCTATGTAACGACAACATAATACGTGTAACAACAGCATAACACCTGTAACACGTGTAACAACAACTGCAACACGTGTAACGACATCATAACACATGTTAACACAACACAACACCTGTAACTTGTGTAATGACAACACACCACCTGTAACACGTGTAATGACAACACGCCACCTGTAATACGTGCAACGACAACACAACACCTGTAACTTGTGGAATGACAACACACCACCTGTAACACGTGTCACGACAACACAACATCTGTAACACGTGTAACATCAACACAACATCTGTTACACGTGTAACATCAACGCATCTGTAACACTTGTAACAGCACCACAACACTTGTAACACGTGTAGCAACAGCACGGAGCCTGTAACACGTGCCACAACAGCACAGGACATGTAACACGTGTACGACAGCACATTACCTGTAACACGTGTAACAACAGCACAGAACATGTAACACATATAACACATGTAACAACAATGTAGCACCTGTAGTTTAAAGATTTAAAGCCAAATAAAAACATTTATCAGCACTTTTATTTTTTCACACACATTCCAAGAAACGGGCGTAAAATATCTCTTCCTGCGTACATGTAGCCTCGAAATGAATTCTGTAAGTCATTGTGTTTATGAGCGCCACAAAGTCGCAAGTTCAATCAAACAGCAATAAAATAGATTCCGCAAATGTCCTTAAGTTAGAATTTTAAGGTAAGTTACGTAGATTGTGTTCAAACTTAAAATATATCTCCAATAAGGGACAGTCCACATATTACATTCGTCACCACTCGCATGTTTCCGTAACCAATAAGACTCGAGCATAGAGGAAACGGTTCAATTTCACATTATCACTCGACCTGGCTGTCCAAAACGACAATCCGTGCGATATCCAAATGTTTAATATACTAAGGGTTGAACTGTTTGAATATGCATTAATTAGAAGTTGACAGATGACAAAGTAGAGATAATTTATGGATAACAACATGGTATTGTCTCATATCATATATAGTTGTTTGTCTGTCTGTCTGTATACAGTCGTATGTGTTTTAATCTGTTTATATTGGTAAAAAAAACTATCTGTCTGTTTGTCTGCCAAAATTAAAGCTTTAAACTCAGGTTACGTTAAAACTGTAATTTAATCCGTTTCTTTAAACTCAAAGTGGTCTACTTCTACTCAATGAATTTAAGGTATTGTTCTTATCTTAACCATGATTTCTTTTTACTAGATAACAGATACACATACACACAATACTTTTCCAACTTGTACATGTCTGTCAAAGAGTTAAACCTGTTTGACAACAGATCAATCTCATTAAAATCAGATGTTAGTTCTCGCTGTCGCTAAACAAAGATCTGAGGACATACCATTACGGGTAAGGTCAGATCTTTTTTAGCGTCAGCGAGAACTTAGATCTGATTTAATGTGATTGGACACAGACAGACAGAGAGGCAAATATTACAATGACATTTTGTTGTAAGAACATTAATGTATTGGTCGTGCAGCACCACTTGTATATTGGATCTGAACAGACGTACACATTTGAGTTTTATTAATATTCAATGTATCATCTTTCTTTCAAATATCTTAATAACAACACTGCAAGTCTGAGAAGATTGTGGCCATTTTTCCTGTTCAATAACTGTACAAATGTTCTTTGTGTTGGATACGTATAGTAATAGTTAGGCAGGAATTTGATTCTAATATCTTCATATACTGGACATATTAATTGTATTCATCTTCGTGGTACTATTTGCATTGTGGACAAATCGATGTCAAAACATCTTTATCTTTGGAATGACTGTAGCAGTGCATATTTAGGGTATGTATATGTATACCCGACCTCCGTTAAACATCTTCGTAAACAGATCAAGTAGTTGATAAATATATTTGTGGTATTATATCCATCATAAACATGGAATAAACATGTGACAGGTAAGACACCAAGAACAAATTTACAAAATGTTGTATGGATCTTTTCATTACTGTGGCGATATAAGTTTCCCCAAAGTTCCGAGTTCCGTGGCTGTATTTTACTATCAATTATCCTAAACAGCTATTAAACAGGTATATTTCTAAATTTATTAATGAACTGCTCAGCTGAATGCATTGATGTATCTGCTTGCCTTGATAGTACTTCACATGCCTTTGTAAATAAATGTCGACATGAAATTGTTGAGTCAAGATACATGTTGTGTGTCAAGTCTTTCTGGACCGAAGAACCATTTCTCATGTTTAGATATCTTTCCCCCTTTCTTGAAAACAACAACTTTAGTTTTGTTGGTAATTACATATACTCCCCCTTTAGTACAATATTAATTTAGACCATATATCCTTTTCTGTAAATTTAGAACACTATCTGCAAATATTAAAACTTCATCCACTAATAGTAACATCGGTAGTGCCTGTAAACTTCGTCTACATAAATACAACTACAATCAGGGTTCACGATATCATTCACAAGTTCATTAGTGTACAAGATAAAGAGGAATGGGGATAATATACACCCCTGTCTTACACCTGCACTTGTTTTGAATACATCAGTCATAGTATTTTTACGACATCTTAAAGTTGCTTTTACGTTTCTATATATACTTCTTAGTAGTGTACTTATCTTACCATGTATACTTTTACCAAGCAACGTAAAAAGAAGGTTATTTTTGCAAATCGAAAGCGCCGTAAAAACAGCAGAAGACGTCCCTATAGGTATATATTATGTGTGCCTCACCTGGTCGGTCCTGGAGATGAGGTTGTTGAAGCCGATGGGGTGGCAGTCGGAGTAGAAGGCGAACATCACGACTCCGACCATGCAGCAAATGCTGATGAGGAAGAAGAGTCCCGGTATGTTCACCAGCATCGCCCTGGTTGATGATATAGAGGCTGGAGATGTGTTACAGGATCGGGCATATGGCGGGGAATATCGCTTGATTGATATTGAGTCGATGTTTTGTGCTGCTGGACTTAAGTCCCAGAGTTTCATTATAAGCTCAGTAGCGTTTAACATTTATGCTGCGTCAACTACAACAGATAGGTTGTGGCCTAGACATTAACACTCTTCCCTCCCTCCCTCCCTCCCTCCCCAAGTTGCAAAACGAACGCATTTCCTAAACTTTAACTTTAACCTAGAAGCAGCAAAATATCTGTACTTGTACATAGCAGACCTAATTTATTATGAACGTATGGTAAACATAACGCCACCACGTTACTGGATGTCCTGTCTGGTCCATCATTTGATTGTCTGTTTTGTTTACAGTCCATCGTCGCATAGCCGTGGTACTCTTGTGTGGCCTCAGGCAATACATACTGACTTTGTTATGCAAATTGTGGGAGTGGCGGGTGCTACAGGTAGGGCAGACTTACACTTTCCGCGAACACCTGGTGCTATCCTAAATTTTCACTGATCCATTCATATAATTTTCCTTGCTATTTTACCTTACGGACAATGGACTCGGCAGATAATCGAGACTGGTTATTCTCTGGCGTTGAAGTTTTATATTTACTGTATCATGGATATGACGAAGATGAACATGATGGTCCATGCCACCCGAAGTATGGCCGGCTACAGTAAGCCGACGCACCGTCAGTATACATTTTTTGCGTGACGTCATTAAACTAATACCAGTCACTCACTCAGTAATCTGTATTTTCGTGCTGCAGTGTTGAACGTCACATTGGTATACTCACAACTGCGCCTTCTTGACGCTCGGGCAGGAAACAGCTCTCTGAACCTGGGCTTGGTTAGCTCCATACAGCGACATCCACAAGAAACCGCCGCCTACCACCAAGGCCCACCAGGAATGACGAGTGGAAGGGTCAGGGTCGAAGCTATCCAACAAGGATGTTATTGTTGAAGTAGTGTTGGAAATATAAATACATTCATGTTTGGCCCTCACTTGTGATTTTTGATAGAAAGACAATGATCAGTGGCATATATACAAAACTAACAAATTTCTTTCTAATTTGACCGATGGCCTTAGTCATCAAATCATCTATTAACAATCATATGTACACGTAAAAAATGTACAAAGTAAAAGACAAATACGCATTGATATTTTTTCCATATTAGCGCAATGTCTCGTGGGTCCAATAACATTTTTAAAAAATGATCCAGCTTGTTTTTTTATTCCATTTTCTCTTAACATAAAGTTACGAAGTGCGTGCGTGCGTATTTTTGTGTGTGTTTGTTGTATAAAGCTGTACAATGTTCCGGTTATACGATGGCTATTGTTATATGGTGTTTCAGTGCTGCTCAAGTAAAGTAATATCTGGGGCCTTCATTTGGCCGTATTGTGTTTCTTATAAATTGTCCTTATCTTCACATTGTTCTCTGTCCTTTTCACACGATAAGCAGTAATAAAAGATACATGAAATTCTATCTCTGACAGTTCTTTATTACGGTAGTATAGAATTACTAATGCATGTGTTTGTCGTGAGTCACGTTTTGCGTAATCAGCGAGAACGGGCGACTCTAAGGCCAAACCCTGTCATTACGCGATGTGTTGCTCATTCCCATGGTTTGGGCCAAATACGTATTTAGATCCACATACGTCTTTGTTGAGACAATTAACTAATCTGCAAAATCCCTTAGTGCAGGCAATCAAAGCATATACGTTTAGATAGGGATGCATTAGAGTGGCTCTAAGTCGTTTCAAAGTAGGCCCGCGACGGAGTATAACAATCAATTTGAGAATCTGATCAAGAAGACTTCTCCGTTTTCATAAGGCGTGAATGTAAAGAGACTGTAAGCGATGTCATAGCCGCGCAACGCCAGTCAGTGTCTGGAATCAGTACACGTCATCTTTTAGAAGAGCCCCTTGGTAGGTTCAGTATAAGGCGCCAGTACATGTGATCTTTTAGAAGAGCCCATTGGTAGGTTCAGTATAAGGCGCCAGTACATGCGATCTATTGGAAGAGCCCCTTGGTAGGTTTCAGTGTATGGAGACAGCACATGTGATCTGGATCTGTATTTCATTGAGGTATTTTCTTAATAATCTCTGTGTTATCCAATCGATGCAGGTAAGGAAGTTAGAGTTGCATTACTTCATCATGTAAATGAATTATCAAACCTATACACTAAAAGATTTATGTTCATCAGCGGAAGTCGTTGCTCATTCTATGGGATTATACAACGAAGCGTACCCAATGGGGCAGTTGCTTAATAAAAGTCATCACCACATATATACGAATTGCCAAGGTTTTGCTTCGAATGAAATCAGTTATATCCGGAATTTGGTTTCATTTTATTTAAGCTGTTGCCGTTACAGAACGGCTCTCACATGTGGGAACTGTACACGTGATTTGGACACATGTGCACACCTGAATGAAACTAAACATTCACCGCTAATTTTCAATCTACAAAGCTACATGGAGTTTCAATATCACGTGTCCATGCACCCTGCCAGGGTGATTATTAATATTAAAAAATGCCACTTGTATTTCTGAAGGCTGTTTGATCAATATACTCGACCTACTCGTCAAACACTACTCGGGAGCGTTCGTGCGCTATCGACCACGCGTTCCCGAATCCTCCCACGACGCTGGAACCCCGTATGAGCACAGCGATCAGCCCCAGAAACATGACCCCGGCCTGGAAGGTGTCCGTCCACAACACAGCCTTCATTCCGCCCTGGTGTACAAAACAAAGCTACATCGCCTGGCAGGAAAAATATTATCGATGTTTTGAATCGCAAATTCAACTAATTAAGGGAAGCGACCTCTATTTATCCCGATAACAGTTTATTATTTCATTTTGTGTACTTACCGAGAATCTGCACAGTAAAAAACACGTACTACACATACATGCACGCACACAGCACACACGCACACGCGCACCACGTACCATACACGCAAGAAACAAAATGGTTTAATCAATGTATGGAACATGTGTTTAAAGTAATCCACGACACAATGGATGTATATCCACGACACAATCATGCAAATAAAATGTAAAGAAATACACACCAGGGCCGTATACATTGTAGACACCAAGCCCACGGCAGCCACAGAGCCCCACAGGTCGAACCCAGTCACTGAAACATTGCATGAGTCACTGATCAATACTATACATAGAAGTCAGAGGATCTTAAACTGCCTGTTACGTCAGGAAGGTTTGCATTCACACTTCCACCTCACCCTCCCGGGTACCCAGCCGATGCACGATGAACACAGCAGGCGCTGTCCAGTGACGAGAAGAGGGCAACCATGCTGAACAAGTTCACCTACACTCGCCATCACTGCTCCATTTTGCCGGACGTTTGACCCTCATGCCTAAAATTTCGGCTTCGTTGCCATGATTTCCTGTGCTTAAACAATGGGCGTCTTGGCCGAAACACTGCTGCTTTGTTCAGTGAAGAGTACACCTACACTTTCCTCACGTACTACAAGTCACGAAAACGTGCTACAAGTCACGAAAACGTACTACAAGTCACGAAAACGTACTACAAGTCACGAAAACGTACTACAAGTCACGAAAACGTGCTACAAGTCACGAAAACGTGCTACAAGTCACGAAAACGTACTACAAGTCACGAAAACGTACTACAAGTCACGAAAACGTACTACAAGTCACGAAAACGTGCTACAAGTCACGAAAACGTACTACAAGTCACGAAAACGTACTACAAGTCACGAAAACGTGCTACAAGTCACGAAAACGTGCTACAAGTCACGAAAACGTACTACAAGTCACGAAAACGTACTACAAGTCACGAAAGAGAACTGCAAGTCAAGAAAACTGTACACTTTTGCGCTTTGAATGCTAAGTGGGAACCTTCCGATCTGCCACCGAAGTAAAAGCAATGGAGTGAGTGATGTTAGCATTGTACCGGGAAGCAGGGTCAGTGATGTTAGCATTGTACCAGGAAGCAGGGTAAGTGATGTTAGCATTGTACCAGAAAGCAGGGTGAGTGATGTTAGCATTGTACCAGGAAGCAGGGTAAGTGATGTTAGCATTGTACCAGGAAGCAGGGTGAGTGATGTTAGCATTGTACCAGGAAGCAGGGTGAGTGATGTTAGCATTGTACCATGAAGCAGGGTGAGTGATGTTAGCAATGTACCGGGAAGCAGGGTAAGTGATGTAAGCATTGTACAAGGAAGCAGGGTGAGTGATATTAGCATAGTACAAGGAAGCAGGGTGAGTGATGTTAGCATTGTACCAGGAAGCAGGGTGAGTGATGTTAGCATTGTACCGGGAAGCAGGGTGAGTGATGTTAGCATTGTATCGGGAAGCAGGGTAAGTGATGTTAGCATTGTACAAGGAAGCAGGGTGAGTGATGTTAGCATTGTACAAGGAAGCAGGGTGAGTGATGTTAGCATTGTACCAGGAAGCAGGGTGAGTGATGTTAGCATTGTACCAGGAAGCAGGGTGAGTGATGTTAGCATTGTACCAGGAAGCAGGGTAAGTGATGTTAGCATTGTACCAGAAAGCAGGGTGAGTGATGTTAGCATTGTAGCAGGAAGCAGGGTAAGTGATGTTAGCATTGTACCAGGAAGCAGGGTAAGTGATGTTAGCATTGTACCAGAAAGCAGGGTGAGTGATGTTAGCATTGTACCAGGAAGCAGGGTAAGTGATGTTAGCATTGTACCAGAAAGCAGGGTGAGTGATGTTAGCATTGTAGCAGGGTAAGTGATGTTAGCATTGTACAAGGAAGCAGGGTGTGTGATGTTAGCATTGTACCAGGAAGCAGAGTGAGTGATGTTAGCATTGTACCAGGAAGCAGGGTAAGTGATGTTAGCATTGTACCAGGAAGCTGGGTGAGTGATGTTAGCATTGTACAAGGAAGCAGGGTAAGTGATGTTAGCATTGTACGAGGAAGCAGGGTAAGTGATGCTAGCATTGTACCAGGAAGCAGGGTAAGTGATGTTAGCATTGTACCAGGAACCAGGGTAAGTGATGTTAGCATTGTACGAGGAAGCAGGGTAAGTGATGCTAGCACTGTACCAGGAAGCAGGGTGAGTGATGTTAGCATTGTACCAGGAAGCAGGGTAAGTGATGTTAGCATTGTACCAGGAAGCAGGGTGAGTGATGTAAGACACGGACAAGGGTGCATTGCGTTTGTTGGTTGGTTTGAAAAAGGCTTACGCCGCACTGGGCATTATTCCTGCTTTATGACGGCTGTCTGAACATGATCCAGTCTGGGCCAGACAGTCCAGTGATTGACATCATGAGCATCGATAATCATGTGAATATGAAACTATGCATTGAAAACGCAGATTGAAGCAGTGAGACGGTAAAGGACTTATAACGAGGACTTGGAGTTGCCTCACCTGCATTCAGGGCCAGGGAAGGGGCGTACAGGACGAAGGACATGTAGATCATCTGCAACAAAAGCGATACCTGCTGTCATTGGATCAATTCACGCGTAGAATTGTTCTGAATGCGATATACACTTTAACATGTGCGTGGGCGGTCGCCTTGGGTTTGCTTAGAAGAAAAGAAAAAGGTTAGCCACTGCGAATCCAAGATGGTTGCCATTTATCAAAATAACTGCCGAGTTTTCTTTAAAAAATCCATTTCAACTTAAAAGATGTAGGTGTTTTACCATACACTGTTCCTAGTGTGCACATGCATGCTTGCTATCATGCCGAGTGTAATGTTACTGTGCCATGCTCCAAAATAGTCCAGGGAACAACCAACAAAAATAGCCTTTCCTTTATATGTCAGTATAGTTCTGCTATTGGTAGATCAGCATAGTTCTGCTATTTGTAAATCAGTATAGTTCTGCTATTTGTAGATCAGTATAGTTCCGTTATTTGTAGATCAGTATAGTTCTGCTATTTGTAGATCAGTATAGTTACGTTATTTGTAGATCGGTATAGTTCTGCTATTTGTAGATCGGTATAGTTCTGTTATTTGTAGATCGGTATAGTTCTGCAATTTGTAGATCAGTATAGTTCAGCTATATGTAGGTAAGTAGAGCCCTGCTATTCCACATTAGCCATCCTGACTTTTGGCAACCATCTTGGATTCGCAGGTGACTGTGTTTTCAAAGTTTCATGCATGTGTCATCGTGTGAACAATTCCCCACCGTCATCAAGGAGACAAAGTGGACAAACAAACACACACGTGGACACACACACAGACACACACGGACACAGACACGTGGACACATACACGTGGACACATACACAGACACGTGGACACACACACGGACACAGACACGTGGACACATATACAGACACACACACACATGGACACACACACGGACACATACACAGACACACACACATTACCGTTTGTAGGATAAAGGTGAGGGAACCTGCCAGTCTCATTGCCCGTCCGAACCGCATCTCCAGGTACTGCAACACCACACAGCACACTACATTACACACCATGGAGGTACAACAGATATCATGGTACAGCAATTATTTTGGCTTTATTCAAAATTTAAATCTGGGAGTAAACGCGGGACTCGTCGTCATAATTATGTCATCTGACACTTGCATTTAAATTGTAACATAGTCCCTGTTTTGACGTATCAATCAGTGGCATTATTGCTCCGTGGGAAAACATTGTTACGTCAGTACACCTTCCTTTTCCATCAAATTCAGCTAAATGCACTTGACTGAAGCGCCACATACACAGTCGACCTTATTTAGTCGTTTCAGAGCCCCGTCCCGCTTTTAACGAATGAAGTGCACTTGAAATCTGATAAACGTATCAAACGAGGTGATTATCAATAATGACGTTTTGACATCGATCGGTTTTTTGTATGACGTGTTGACATCGATCGGTTTTCCATATGACGTGTCGACATCGATCGGTTTTCCATTTGACGTGCTGACATCGATCGGTTTTCCATTTGACGTGCTGACATCGATCGGTTTTCTATATGACGTGTTGACACAGATCGGTCTTCCATATGACGTGCTGACATCGATCGGTCTTCCATAAGAAATATTGACATCGATCGATGTTCCGTATAGACGCCTGGTGATATACAACAAAGGCAGCCGTGAGAACCTTCTTAAAAGTGTTAAGAAGTATCTGTTAAAAGCCGTGTCCATTTTACGATTCCGACTGTATCAGAGTCGTGTTTAGGAATCACTAATGGTGATACCAGTCGTCCATAAAATGATGAACAATCTCAACTCCGATTATCTTGTAGCAAAATATCAAAGAACTCATTTCATTTCAAATGACCCACCCTGCTCTTGTGGCGCTATTGATGAAAATACCATTCATTACATGATACGTTGTCAGCCGACCTCGAGGCGCATATGGTGTGATGTGCCTACATAGGCTCACCCACAGGGTACATCACACCATATGCCCCGAGCGATCGGCTGACAACGAATTTATCTTACCGACATTCGTAGCAGACTACGCAAACTATCCGAGTTATTTCATTTACCCAATGCATTCGCATAAACATCGGTTCAATTCAGCTCAACAATACTAATGTGAGATAAGCAAGTTCCCTACGGTTTGTTCCGATTGATTTATATCAGTATATATACATACATACATACATACATACATACATACATACATACATACATACATACATGCATACATACATACATACATACATACATACATACATACATACATACGTACATACATACATACGGTTGTGTACTGCTCCGTTAAAATCTGGGTTTGTGGTGTGCTTATTTCCGGTTTAGATTTGTAGTAATTTTAGAAGCATGTTTAGAAACTATTTTCAATCCAACATCATCAATATACCATGCAACCGTATTTTGTTAAGGAAAATAATACACCAATGTTGTGAATGACTTGCACAATACATATACCTGTTGATTATCTATGTATCCGGCTAAAACGAAGTTAATACGAAACAAACCATGTTTGAACTACCGTATGAAACGGTATGATCCTAACATTACACACTTGAACTACTTGATCAGCTGTGCAAGCACTAAACAATGACTACATACATGTATATGAAGACATCTAATGACAAACCTCTCATATCAAACCATTGTTTGACTGTGGCCCGTTTCTGGTCCTCGTATACCTGTCTTTGTCGAAGGATCCTGCTAATGATCTGGTGGTTAGATTTGTGACCTGCACGGGTGTTATGTGTCATGCTCTTGAAGATCGTTACATATGATTTCGCCACTACCCCGCTTGTTTATTACAACTGGGGCGTCGTTAAAGCGTCCGCGCGTCACGCCGAAGACCCGGATTCGATTCCCCATATGGGTACAATGTGTGAAGCCCATTTCTGGTGTCCTCCGCCGTGATATTGCTGGAATATTGATAAAAGTGGCGCAAATACTCACTCGCTCACAGCTGGAAAACTGGAATATTTCTGACTGCAGCGAAGAAGTAGCTATAACATTGCCTGTGTACATATGTTAAGTGGTAGCTTTGATTCAGTCCTGCTTTTCTAGACATGTATCCTAGTTCGAGTTTTACAGACTAACAAAGGTGCACGCGTGTACGAGCAACGTGTTCTATGTGGCCCTACAACGGTGACATTGTTTACACACAGCGATGATGGCGGTCGTTGCGTTGCCGCCGATGTGTCGTGTCCGTACACCGTGTTCGTACCATGCTGCCCTTTATTTTCAAACGAAAAGAAATCAATATGCAGTACATACCTCAAAAATACTGGTAAGCCCAAGTTTGTAGAAAAAAGGTATGAAAATCAACGTTGCCCCGGCAACTGACACAAAATAACCCAAACATAGCCACCAGAACATTGTGTTGTAGTTGTACACTTCGGCTGGCGTTCCAAGCAACGTTAATGCCGAGAGAAACGTCACCAGCAAGGACATAGCCACAGGTATCACATGCATTTTGCGTCCACCGAAAAGAAACTCCCCCGTGGAGACGTTGTCGCGATCTCTGATGGCCACGTAGACTCCAATTGCGGCAGATAAAATCAGTGTCACCGCAAATACCACGTAGTCAACGACACTGAACGTTTTGATGTAGCCGGTGACGATGCTGTAGTCAGCTGCCATGTTGTATTCCACGCACAAAGTCCGGGGATCCTGCAGCTTTCAAGGGCGCGAAATTAAAAGCCTCAAGCTCAGTGCTGCCTGGTAGAGGAAATGGTTAGCAATAGAGACAGGGGCTATATACCCACGACTCATGTTTCACACGTCGTACAGATGTATTAAGCTGGTGGCTTATCAACAGATGATAGCAGGGCTGGATGAAGAGTGGGAGCAAGAGAAAGAGCAAGCTCTGCAACTCTCATCAGCAGCCATTAAGATAAGCGGCAAGTTTATGGCAGTTGTGAGACGTGGGTCTGATGGGGTCACAGGGGTCAAGAAAAATGAACTTCTGAACAGATGGGCCTTGACAAATTGTTCCTCACAGTTCTTCAAACCGCTTGGATACAGGAGTATGGAGGTGAGAACACAATAAGAATATTCCACCAACATTCCACCAACGTTCGACCAACATTCTGCCCCCATAAACAGATTTTATAGTGGTCTCTCATGATATCGTCGGAATCGTACATTCGCCTCTGCATTTCTAATCATGTAATGAATATGGAAAGGGTTTTGCCGCTTTGATCTGCTGCATCGACAAAAAACTCCACCATCTTACACTATACATATGTGACCCGTGAAGATCCGGCTCAGAATTGATCTTCAGCAAACCCATGCTTGCCGTGAGAGGCGACTACTTTTGATTGTCCTAGGCGACTAATGGGATCGGGTAGTCAGATGCATCGTATCCCAATTTACGTAGATCGATGCTCATAATTTTAATCACTGGATTGTCTGGTCCAGATTTGATTATTTACGGACCGCTGGAAATATTGCTGAGTGAGGCGTTAACCCGCTGGGTGCCGAGGTTTTTTTCTGACGCACATTTTCCTAAGATCTGAAAAGTGAACGTTGTGCGAGAATTGCGCTCACGCGGCACTGGATCTACCTCTGGCTACACAGTTACGCAGATATTTAGAATATTTAATTTCCTATCTGATGGTGTAAATTGTACTTATTGTATTATACCAGTTTTCAAAAAAGGCATTGCTAAGTGTTGTCCGAGAATATATCGTGTGTTGAAAAACAGGATTTTTTTCCGCATTTAGCAGCTTTACCGAAACTGTGAGATAGCAAAATACGAGCTAATATCTGAACGACATAGATATATATCAAATGGAGTTATATGCTTATGTATAGCGACATAAAATCAGTGCCTGTCGTAAATGACGAAAAGATGCGAAGTTACACACGTACAAAGAATAGGGGGCATAAGTCCGATATGCTCAGCACTAGTTTATTGTAATGAATGAGTATGGTTTTACGCCGCTTTTAGCAATATTCCAGCAATATCACAAGGGCTCCATAGTAGACAACACATCGTACATGAACCAGAACGTCTGTGAGGATAAGCTCTACACAGTGCACGGTGAGAGTTCCAACAAAAGTTGATTCCACCTTGTGTGAGTTCCTTGGAGTATGAACATCCACAGACTGAGGGCAGAAAGGCAAGGACGTCGGAGCTTGCGACGATACTGGATTAGTTTGGATATGAATTTCTTCGGGTTTTTTCACTAGGATGGGTCGGAGCGAAGATATTGGTAAACGATCATGCAGTCAAACTCTCTGACGTTTCTCAATGAACACTAAAACGCCGATTTCAGGATTATAGGGTCTAAATGATCAGAAACAACGCTTCTGTATGTATTCATTATAGGGAATTCCCAGGAGTGGTGGAAGTAGTCCGTCAGTGTTTACGTCATTTCCAAAACACGGTCTCGTCAAATTGTGTCGTTTATACATGTATGAACATCCATCTCGCCGTCATGTGACCGACCTCTCGTCCAATCGAAAAGCCGTATTTCGTGTAAACTTTGAATTAAAAACTTATATATTCATAAACACAAGTAGACTTGTTGAAGGAGTTTGACGTTGGTCGACGTGATGTTGAATGTAGACAGCTTGATCACACAGCACCAGCACTCTCAGGGAGGGGTAAGGAGTAACACATGCTGAATCTAGGATAACACTGTTTTACTGGATTACAGATTCTAATACTATTTTGGGTTGAGTCCCATCTATTCGAACCCACACTCTTAGAATGAGGCACCTCATTACCAACACTCAATGTCAGCGATCTAATCCACTCAGAGACCGAGATTTCCACAAAAGCGAAGTCCGACAACTGATAGTTTAGATCACGTACTTTGTGTACCCCTCTGAAAAGTGTAAACTGGCACGGCTCCCATGGCCAAAAGCACATTGCTAGATCTAGTTGTAGATGCGGATGATTTTGTCACGGCTGCAGGCTATAGACTGCTGCCATGTCGCTGGTGATCAGGTGAGCTGGGCTACTGTCTGTCGTGAACCTTTTACATATTCAAATCTATTCGAATAAGATTTAATCGGACTATCAGGAAATGTGAGCGAGTGCGGTTTTACGCCGCTTTTAGCAATATTCCAACAATGTCACGGCGGGGGACACCAGAAATGGGCTTCACACATTGTACCCATGTCGGGAATCAAATCCGGGTCTTCGGCGTGGCGAGCGAACGCTTTAACCGCTAGCCTACCCGACCGTCCCTCAGGAAATGTGAATAACTTACAGACGTATAAAACAAATATTATTAGTGGTTGTGACAAAGCTACATGTACGCTACGCTTCTGTACGAACACCAAGCCTGTAAATGTATCTGGTAACCAAACTACAAAAAGTGCCACTGCATACATTCGCTCTGCTCACCTCTCCTTTTGAGTACAGAAACTACGGTTATAACGAACTCAAAGTGACCACTAAGTTTAGTTTGTTATAACCGAAATTCGTTATGAGCATACATATAACATACATACAGCAACGGACGGGACCCCCGAAAACGGCTCGTTTTATACGTCAGTTCGTTATGAGCGTGTTCGTTATAAATGAAGTTTACTGTACTATTTTGTTCCGCGTCACAGCTGGTTCTTGAGACGATGCGGTGTAAACATGAAGTCACACGTACTAAATGAAGACTATTTGAGGTATAAAATAGTTAATGCCACGAGTCAAACTTAGCGGCAGCCACTTCGCAAGCTACGACTTTTATTCAGTTTGGACCTCCCTCACACACAATGGAAACATCTCTTCTTAATGTACATACTTTTCTGTTTGTTCGTATGGGTCGCGTTTATTTTGGCGGTGAGTATATATCAAGAATTGACTTTCACTTAGTGTGAGTTCATTGAGACATGAACCTTCATAGAGGGAGGTCCAAACTGAATAAAAGTCGTAGCTGCTGTTACTGCGTGTTGTTGGTTTATTAATAAAATATTGTTTTACAAGCCACCACACACAGCGATTACATAGTGAGTGAGTTTGGTTTAACGCCGCTTTTAACATTATTTCAGTTATATCGCGGCGTGTCAGCTCAATGTGGGTTTTAAAACGTGAAATGAAATGTAAGCATTTAATATAATTCCACTGCGATTGTTCACCCTTGTATTTACTTTACTCTCTCCTTGTTTGCCCCAATACAGTCCGACACTGTTCCTGGGTTGGACTAAACTAGCGGACGTTGCTTTGTTGCTGATAATTAATAACATGCCATCACCAATGGGATGGGGTCAGAATAGAGGGAACAGTACTTGACCGACCTTCATATCACGGAAACAAGAGCCCGATACGGTCGTAGTATCACTGACAGGTATGCATTTTGAACGTGTATGAATTATTGTTAAAAACGAAGTATGTTTATTTCTGTATTAGAGCCTTACTGGAGGGATTGTAATCAGTGGTAGGGGTGCGTGCATGTGTCTTGTAGGTGTATGTGAATGTCGATAGTTTACAAGTATCTATTCTTTAAGAATGGGAGACATGGGTGGCAGAGTTGCGTCCCTTGGCAACGCCAGAACCCTATGATTTAGGGATCGAGTCCCATTTCGCGCCGATTCTCTCTAGGTTTGTCAGCACCATAACCGTCGCAAGGGTTCCACAGAAGTGGTAAACGTCTGAGACCTACATCACTTCGAGCTTTCCTTCCACATTATGCTGACACGCCGTGGTATAAGTGAAATACTACTCAAACCGGCATTAAACCGAACTCACTCACTCATGATCACTCTTTAAGCAAAACTCTCAGCCCCAGAATATCAAGTGGAATGAGCTGTCCCTTTAGCTGAATTGATGGACGTTTTTCAGTAACATGGATATTTACATTATATAAGCAATTTCCCTTAAACGTGTTCTAGATTCAATGAGGACGGTGGGGTAGCGTAGTAGTTCAAGCGATCGCTCGTCACGCCGAAGACCCAGGTTCGATTCCCCACAGGGGCAAAATGTGTGAAGCCTATTCCTAGTGTACCCCGCCGTGACATTGCTGGAATATAGCTAAAAGCGGCGTAAAACCATTCTCACTCACTCCAGATTCAATGGATATCTGTGTATAGGTGTATTATTCATCACATTTATTTTTCAGAGGTGGAAATTAGAAATGATCTTTGTTTCTTTACTTAATGATCAGGATTCGCTTTACTAAGGTGGGACGAGAGAATCCCTTCAGTTCAATATCATCAACAACCTATTATTCACTCTTGGTGACAAGTACATAAACACTATGATTGAGTTCATTCTTTTTGGACAAACAGTAACGTTCTGGAGAATATTTTTCGGATAGGCATTGAACGCTACAGATGATACAAATAATGTCCATTGTTTCAGAAAAAAATGTTATACAGTAAGTAACCATGTAGGTCATCTTTTCACAGTTTTGAAAATTAATTCTGACCAAAGTAATATTTATATTTGCGGACAAGTATAACCTAGTAATTGCCAAAGTACAACAAACGCAAGGGATGTATCTTCTCCTAAAATGACTATTCAGGAATACGATGAATTTCTCGATGACAGATATGTGTTTGGTGTTCAATAATTCACCAAACTTAAAGATGTTTGGCCTATCGTAATAATACTTATCAATCAAAATGGTTCGTTTCTAGCGATTGAAAATGTAACAGAGAGTGGGATGAGCTGATGACACCACTTCTCGATGATTGGATAAACGTGGAGGTTATTCTCAAGTTGAAATAAAATGTGCGCTT